GTTCGAGTAAATGGACCTTGAAAGAATGATTGACTTGCTTATTTGGATGTCAACCCAATGAAACACAAGACGGGGTAAAATGGACCACATTTGGACGTACTTCTATCGAACAGATTTATGTGCAGGTCAGAAATATGCACTGAAAAAAATTCTAGGCGTTTTTACCAAGGTCCGTTGGTACCTTTACCATCTCACTTTTTTTGCCAATTATTGGTAATTTTACCAAGACACACTAGTAAGCTTACCTAAAAACCGGCATTTTTACTGTTTTCTTCCGGTAAGAATACCACTTTTATTGGTAAATCAATTCCCGGTAACTTTGCCATTTTATCTCGGTAATTCTACCACAGTAGATAAAAAATATTGGCGTTTTACCAAGGTCCAATAAAATTACCTGAGAAGGCGCATAGGCGCCTACAAACCTAACAGGGATATTCACGCATTGCGCAATGCGTGAAGTATCCTGTTAGGTTTGTAGGCGCGAGTGCGCTTTTTGCGCTGGCTGCACGCCGTTCCACTCTGTGTTAGGTTCTCATAATAAAACTCGTGAGAGGGTCAATTCCAGGCGAGTTTGCTTGGTTTCGGCCCGATCGGCGAACTTTCGATTTTACCATACAAAAGTCCATGTCCTTGTCGATTTTTCTCGATTTTGGTCGTGGAGAAAAATTTTGAGATTACAGTCGGATCCTACGTATTTGAAGGCGCTGGATTGATTGCGCATGGTCACGAGGCTCAACGAGGCTTCCTGAATCAAAAAACGGTCAAAAATGTGTCTCTGAGGCGTTTTCAGCGAATAGCGAAAGTAGCGGACTCGCGGAGCTTCTCCGACTGGAAAATCGCGCTCAGCTAGTCATTTCAAAGTGAGCTTTCTTATTTCAGTCCGATTTGCGATCTTTCAATTTTGACCATTCAAATTTAGTCCATAAAAGCCCCTTCGATTTTTTGCGATTTTTGTCGTGGAAAAAAAATCGAGATCACAGTCGGATCTTATGTAGCTGAAGGCGCTTGATCGATTGTGCATGGTCCTGCGGCTTGCCGAAAAACGGTAAAAAACTGATCTAAAACGAGTTTTTCTGACCAGTGTTTGACTGTTTATGCCAGGCGTTTTCCGTGCATAGCGAAAAGAAGCGGACTTGCGGAGATTTTCCGACTGGAAAATCGCACTCAGCGCGTCATTTTCAAGCAAGCTTGCTTAGTTTCAGCCCGATCGGCCAACTTTCGATTTTAACCATACAAAAGTCCATGTAACTCCTGTCAATTTTTCGTGATTTTGGTCCAGGAAAAAAAAATTCGAAATCACAGTCGTAACCTATGTAAATAATGGCGATGGGTCGATTGCGCATGGTCTTGAGGCTTGGCGAGGCCTCCTGCGCCAATCAACAGTGAAAAACTGGTAGGAAACGAGAGCTTCTGACCAGTTTTTTACTGTTACTCAACTCGTTGCCTTACAAACCAGTTTGTCAAACTTATAAATGGCGCTGCCTGGTCACTGCTTATGAGCAGTCGCGAGGCGTGAATAAACCGATTTTCGATATTTCCTCATTCGAAGGTGTGGTAAAAAATCGATTGTTAGGGTATCCGTTTTGAACACCCGTTTTACCGGTAGTTTTCCATAGGTTTGAACCGCAGATCAATCAATATTTCGCAAAGCTCCCCATACTCCTGATCACGAGCGATTATTTTAACTCAGTGAGGACTCGAATCTCAAACTTGACAAAGTGAAGTGTGAAGACACTCTGAGAGAATCCGGTTACTCGTGACTTAAGGGCCAGCAGTCTCATTTAATAGCGCTGCGCCGTACCCTTGTGCATACTTTCACATTGAGCAACTACTTTAACTCCGCGGAGATCAAATTGCATAGCTACGAAATTGAAGGAGTTTTGAATTATTTTTTCTCCGGAGCAATTATTTAGTGTTCCGGAGAAAAAATATTTTCTCTTCGGGACGATAAGTTATTGCTAGGGAGCGAATTTTTTTCTCTCTGGAGAAATTGTTTAGCGTTCCAGAGAAACATAATTTCACTCCGGAACGATGAGTTATTGGTAGGGAGCGATTTTTTTTTTTCTCTCCGGAGAAATTATTTAGTGTTCCGGAGAAAAATATTTTCTCTTCGGAACGAAAAGTCACTGCTGGGAAGAGAAAAAATTTTTCTCTGGAACACTAACTAATTTCTCGGAAGAAAAAATAAGTCGCTCCGTAGCACTGAATCAGTTAGATGCCATTCTCCAATCGAATCCGTTTCTGTTACAAGGGCGGAAGCCCAAAAACGCATGAGCCCTAGCGTCTCGTGAGATCAACGAAAGCCAGGGCTCATGATTTGTTGGACGAACGCCCGTCGAACAGAAACTGATTCAATTGAGTTAGAGAAATTAGTGCGTGGTGGATTGTCTGAACAATTCGGCACTATTGCTACGGCCCACAGCTACGAAGTCGAAGGAGATTTTAGAACTTGGTATGACTCGTTGCCATACTGGTATCGTGTATCGGTATCTACATTCGTTCCACAGATCATTATGTTACCAATATATGTTTATCACAATACGTTAGTATCGCGGTTGTTTTTACCACGACGAGTAAATTAAGGTATTGTATTAGTAGGAGTAAAACAAAACAAAATAATGAAACGAAACAAAAAACATTTAATTGGTGAATAAATCAAACGAATAAGTACATGAAAAATAAGTAAGTACTCGCAAAGGATCATGGATTAACAAAATTGATCGCTATGACCTCTTTTAATCACAACTGGACTTAATAAAGACCTCGCAAAATGAAAAAGCTCTGGTTTAATGCGCAAGTATACAAGTTCGAGATTTTCCTTCCAAAAATGGTAGGCATAGAACTTACGGGAAAAATAGCACTCCTTAAGATTGCAACAATGGTATTTTCTCAGATCAGCTAATACATAATAGTGAAACCACTCTGAAGGAAGAAAAATGAAATTACGGTTGAAAAAATCATCGTGAGATAATATCACTACAGTCCACAATAACCTACGTTTTATCAGATCTCTCTGCTCCTGGGCTTCCAAAACAAATAGATTCAACATTGAATAACTAAATAGAGAGGAAATTAAATGGCCCACCAGACAAGGTACGAACATCAACATTCTGATACATGTTTTTTTACCAAAATTTCACGAAGAACACGATGCGCACAACGAAAATTACCGAAATTTTCTCCTTACGAAGATATTTGATGATTCTTGATGCGTGAATTCAAACCACCCGCTCATGGAAACTCGATGCTCCACGTGATTCACATGCCAGTCTCATGACAGTCTCTGCGATATAAAAATCTGGCAACCTCAATCTTGACGCTTTGGCTCGGCTGTAGCAAATTGCTAATAGTTCGAAAAACACATGGTCGGAAATGAACATTGCTCGATTGAGAAGCTTGCTGAAACCGCTGTAGTGCGCAATTTGACTCACGTAGAGCTTTGAGTTCCTTGTGAGCGGGCAGTTCAAATTCCCCGTAACCAATGTGAAATGAAAACGTTGATATCTTCGTTAGGAGTTGGTTTTAGTAATTTTCGTTGCGCGAATCGTGTTTTACGTGAAATTCTGTTTAAGAAACATGCATCAGATTGCTTAAATTCGTAACTTTTCTGGTGGTCCATTCTAATTGAGTAATAATAACAACTTAAAAAGTATCCTAACGTCGGAAAATTTCAATTGCCGAACTCGGAAAGTCGTAACTCCAATATTGATCTCCCCTCTGACGTGAGAACGTATCTCTATTTCCACATGAGCCGTGGAAAGCATAGAGTTAAACGGAGAACAGGGCTCACGTGGAATTCAGATACGCCATTCTATCTGAGGAGTGACAATTTGCGACATGACATCGCAAACCTCCGCTCATGTTTTATTGCTCAAAAGAAAGCTGCCAGGCGTATTTTATTACAATTTTAGATGCATTTTTCAAACTCATCTTAAAGTATTCACGGAATATTTTAAAGAAATATTCAGGTTAGCTTCTTTTTTTATAAAAGATAGAATAAAAGTGAACATGATCGGAGATTTTGAAATGTTGCAGTGGGGATCCGCATCTTTGGACCTCCACTACTGATTTGGCTGCCACAAAAATTGCGAAAAACAAACTGGAGCGAAGAAAATCATCTTATGGGGACTTTCGAATCCCGCAGATATCTCTCTTAATCAGATCTTTCTACTAAACATGATTTTTTGTGCACACTGGAAAAAAACACATTGGATCTAAAGTCCGGACTCTTGAAAACATTGACAAGGAAAAATACTCTTGGTTCAATCGGATTTTTGCTTGAATCAAAACGAAATCCGCTCAAATTAAGAGACTTGGTTCTTGATTTAAGTAAAAATCCGATTGAATCGAGAGTATTTTTTCTTGTCGATGTTTTTAAAAATCTGGACTCCAGATACAATGTGTTTTTCTTTCCAGTGTTCGCCACTGATTTGGCAGCTACAAAAATTGCGGAAAACAAACAAGAGAGAAGAAAATCATCTTACGGGGACTTTCGAATCCCACAAATATCTCTCTTAATCAGATCTTACTACTAAAAATGATTATTTCGTCACCTTCCAGGCAAAGTATCACAAGCGCCATGCGACGTTTAAAAATTTCCGCCGCCATTTTATTTTTTTACAGAGAAATCGTTCAACGAACCTGTCCGAAAATTTCACTGACTTTTCTTTGTGCTGCCGATAAAATTTAGTGAAATTTCCAAACAGATTCAACCAACAATTTCTCAGTAAAAAAATAAAATGGCGGCGGAAATTTTTAAACGTCGCATGGCGCTTGTGATACTTTGCCTGGAAGGTGACGATTTGTGCACCTACAAAATGAAATCAATTCATGAAAAAGTTGCACCATACGATAGAAAACCCCCCAAAAGGACATAACCCCCTCTATCTGAAGTTAACAATCTATGAATACTCGATTATTAGCACGGGAGACAAAATTTCAACTTCGATTACATACCTATTATAGGCCGTTCATAAAATACGTAACGATTAGGGAGGATAGGGGGGAGAGTCGTGGAGAACGTTACGCTATTTTTTTTTTTTTTTTTTTGTTTCCCCACATGTTAAAGTATAGGCACCTACGTCATAAACACGTTACGTGGGGGAGGGACGTGGGGATGGAGTCGAAAAATCCAAAAATTTAACCTTACGCAACGAACGGTCTCAAGACTTATTTCAGAAAACAGGAATTAGATGCAACTTAATTACATAAAAAATAACAACGGATCATTCAAATCATATCAAATTCTTAACACAAAAAGTTCCTTTTAGGACTAACAAGTCCCATTGCTTTTTTTAGCAGGTTAAATACACACAGAGATCACAGAGTTGATGCAAATAAGTAGACATGAAATCACAAAACATTCTCCATGGAAATAAAAGTAAAAACAATGACTTATACTAATTATAATGGACGGAGTAGTGTCTGGAGAGCAAGGAAAGTAGACAATTTTAAAAGAAATTAACTATACTTAATTTGATTGTGATTTGAGCTTTGCCATTCAACTTGATAGAGCCTTGAAAGGGCGGATTTATCGTCAGTAAATGTCACCGAAACAAATCTTTGTATGCTTGAATTGGCTGTAACAAACAAGAAAAACCACTAGTGCTTCGAATTTTGTTGCGTGGCGCCGCGAGCCGTGGCTGGATAAACAGATACCATCTCGAATGTGATGCTTTAAAATCTCCGCTTTCATTTGAATTATTTTAAAGGAGAATTGAGGGGCTTGAATCACAAAGCACACAAGTGCAGATTTTGAAAAAATTGAGATTTTCATGATTTCAAGCAAAACTAGAGTACCTATAATGGCCACTGGGGTTACCACCTCTGATTGGCTCAGCCATCTTAGGCTAAATGGAGCCCTTAGGACCCAAAAATGGCGGACGCCATAAATTAATGTAATGCAAAATGACTCAAAATGTAGTTTTCTTTGCTTATCGTAACGAGAAATTTACTCAAATGCACTATTGCGACATCTTTACATATTTTTAAGGCTAATCGTGTGCAATTTTTGAGAAAAATTATCTTAGATGTAGTAAGGTTGGCAGCAAGTGCGGTTGGTGATAACCGTCAAAAGTTGGCAATGACCCCCCCTCCCATCCACAAAAACCAAAACAAAGCACCGCCATTTTTGGGTCCTAAGCCTCTCCATGGGGCCCAGTGGCCATACTCTCTCAATATAGGTACTCTAAGCAAAACTAGCCTGAATGAATATTCTGTGAGAAATTTGCTCCAAAATTATGATTTTTAAGCATCAAAATGTCAGTTTGAACTTCCTTTCCACCGTATGGCTCCATATAATTTCGAAACTCCAAACGCGTATTTCTCAAAATAGCAAAAACTGCACTTAAGCACCTTGTCCTTCAAGCCCCTGAATTAATCGACGTCATTTCTTGAAATTTTCTCAACATTTTTTTCGCACGGAGAAGGAAATTCACGGCAGTTTTTAGGAACTGCCTTTGATAAGTTCTCTATTTCAAGTACAAAGCATGACAAGTCTGCAACGTTGCAAACCGAGATACGTGGTTTGGAAGTACCGCCATCGATAAACAACTAAAGAGCATTGATCGTCCTGCGGCGGTCAACTTATGGAAGAAAATTCGACTGAAATAATCGTAAAATAGTCATCCTTGAGTAAATTATGGGTTCGGAAAATAATAAAGTTTAAGCTGATGATAATTTTTAAGGCATGTTCTAGACCCTCTAAGGGCTAATTTTTTCACATTTGTTTGATGGGAAGTGGGGCACGGTTCGTTTTAAAAAATTTTAATTTTTCTGAAGACCACCCGCGATTTTTTTATAAAAGTGTCAAGGAAGGTTTCTAGATTAAGGTATTGAAAACCGCAAAATCGTAAGTGGGGCCGTTTTTTTTATTTTCGACTTTTTCTATTTTTAAGGGTAAAATGACGGCAAAAGCCAATGTATGACCACTAAAACCCCCAGCCATCTAGTCAAATTAAGTTAAAATTTTATGTATATTAGTCCTTGACATGTAAATGGGTGCCCTCAAAAGTTTCAAACCCTCCCTGAAAGAACTGCACCCCCTTATGCGGTGTTGCCAAGTTACGTGCCCGATAATGACGCGACTGACGGGGCAATGTAGTGCAAAAACTTGTTTGAATGTTTGACTGTTTTTAATCAAATAAAACAAATTGACATTTTCTGGTCAAATTTTGCAATTTCAAAAAACGAAAATATGGCAACCGCGCATGCTCTCATCGAATAAGATTTAAAAGTATCCTCACATTGTATAACGGTAAGGGTTTTCATAAGTCTTGGTGATGATCGCAATTCAAAATCTACATTGCCCAGTCGCGTCATTATCGGGTACGTAACTTGGCAACACCGCATAAGGGGGTGCAGTTCTTTCAAGGAGGGTTTGAAACTTTTGAGGGCACCCATTTACATGTCAAGGACTAACATACATAAAATTTTAACTTAATTTGACTAGATGGCTGGGGGTTTTAGTGGTCATACATTGGCTTTTGCCGTCATTTTACCCTTAAAAATAGAAAAAGTCGAAAATAAAAAAAACGGCCCCACTTACGATTTTGCGGTTTTCAATACCTTAATCTAGAAACCTTCCTTGACACTTGTATAAAAAAAAATCGCGGGTGGTCTTCAGAAAAATTAAAATTTTTTAAAACGAACCGTGGGGGAATAATACCAAAAGTTATGGCGTTAATTTATCAGTGTTGAAAACTAGTCGTGTCGCCGTGGGTTCTGAACAACATAGGGCAAAACGATTGAAAACCAAATTAATTAATCAATAGGAATGATGTCCCTGAACCTATCCATGCTAAAAAATATGATGAATTATTATTATATTTAATAATATGAGATTTTAAAGGCCGAAAATGTCCGGTCGGTTACGCGTCGCCAACCCCGATTTTGAAGCAAAAGAGCAATTTGCGGTAACATATCAGTACTGATCATGAACTCTTTGGCAATATTTGCTGAAAAGAGACTCTAGTGTTCAAGAAAATTGCCAGTTTGAACTGAAATGTTTATTATTTAGCGAGAAAAGTCATAAGAAAGAGATGTCGCCACATTTGGCAACAAATTTTTGCAGTTGTATTAAGTGCAGTGTTTATCTCGCCAGATGGAGTCAGGAGTTTCAAAACTGCCATCAAATTGTT